GGCCCTGCATTAAAGAACATAATTGGTTAAAGACAATTGTGATAAATAAAAAAGTTTACCAGTTTCATTTAAGGACCAAAAGATTGAAAGCCGTCCCATATAGATTGCAAAATAGTTGGGAAGAGATTTTTGACGTACCGATTCCATGGCATAGTGTTTATGAACTGATAAGCAAAACGACGACGGATTCAAAACTTATAATTTTTCAATTTTAAATTATTATATAAAATTCTTGCTACCAATAGAATGTTATTTGAATGGGGGATACAATCTTCCCAGCTCTACAGATTTGGCTGTGAAGAGAGAGAATCATTAGATCATTTGTTTTGGTATTGTCCATTTGTAGCTTGGTTTCTGGACACAGGTCCAGGAATGGCTGAAGGATTGCAATATTTGCATGGAGCTGACCCTGCAGATAGCACTAGTGGGTGATCTGAAAAGTCATAGTCAATCGATCAATAATATAATAATACTTTTAGAAAAAAAAAAGATTTTCAATCCACAAACTGTAGAAACAATGAGAATAGAAAGGTTCAGAACTTTTGTAAAACATCACAGTACAGTTGAAAAATATATGGCAAATAGAAATCCAATATGGATGGTGTTAAGAGATAGATGGGAGGTGTTGAATGGAGCTGAAGGATGGGACTAATAACAACAATTAATAACAACAAGATAACTAGTGTAAGACATGCTGTGTCCATAATAAGTATATAGGTTATATATTGTGAGCTTTTGTGAAAGAGCACAGTTAGAAAGATATGGCATATAGAAGCATACCAGATGGACATCATGAAAATGATCGGAGGAAGTTCAGTAAAAACAAACAAAGTATAATTATTGACTGTGTCCATAAAATGTATATAGTATGTATAAGCATGAAGTAGAGGCCTAAGCATTGTTGTTCACTAGTTTACTCCAATTAGGGAAGGGATGGTGGGGTTGGAAAGTAATAAAGGGAAATATATATATTTTTAAAGGATATGTATGTATATATATATGTATGTATATGTGTATATGTATGTATGTGTGTGTGTATATATATACATATATATTGACTGCGAGAAGAAAAAAAACATATGGGGGATTGGAAGTGATGCAGACAATTACATTGATGGAAGTTACAATCTATCTGCAATATTAAAGCTGATCTACCCCCTAAAAAAAAAAGTAGCAGCAGCTTATGTGAAGAGTGTGAAAGTGTGTCAATGTGTGAGTGTGTGTGTGTTTTGTATGTAGTGTGTGTGTGTGTGTGTGTGTGTGTGTGTGTAGAGTCCAATGAGTGTACATAGAGCCAGTGCAAGAATGTCAGTGAAATAAAATAATAATAATGGGGTCAATGCAAATAGTCTCGGTAGCCATTTGATTAACTGTTTAGCAGTCTTATGGCTTGGGGGTAGAAGCGGTTCAAGAGCCTTTTGGTCCCAGAATTGGCGCCCCGGTACTGCTTGCCGTGCGGTAGCAGAGAGAACAGTCCACGACTTGGGTGGCTGGAGTCTGACCATTTTTAGGGCCTTCCTCTGACATCACCTTGTATAGAGGTCCTGGATGGCAGGAAGCTCGACCCCAATGATGTACTGGGCCGTACGCACTACCCTCTGTAGCACCTTGTGGTCGGATGCCAAGCAGTTTCTATAATAAGCAGTGATGCAGCCAGACAAGATGCTCTCAATGGTGCAGCTGTATAACTTTCTGAGCATCCGAGGCCCCATGCCAAATATTTTCAGCCTCCTTAGGGGGAGGAGGCGTTGTCGTGCCCTCTTCACAACTGTCTTGGTGTGTTTGGACCATGATAGGTCCTTAGTGATGTGGACACCGAGGAACTTGAAGCGCTCGACCTGCTCCACTACAGCCCTGTTGATGTGAATGGGGGCGTTCTCGGCCCTCCGTTTCCTGGAGTCCACAATCAGCTCCTTTGTCTTGCTGACGTTGAGGGAAAGGTTGTTGTCCTGTCACCACTTTGCCAGGTCTCTGATCTCCTCCCCCTAGGCTGTCTCATCATCGTTGGTTATCAGGCCTACCACCGTTGTGTCGTCAGCAAACTTAGTGATGGTGTTGGAGTCGTGTGCAGCCATGCAGTCTTGGGTGAACAGAGATTACAGGAGGAGACGCACCCCTGTGGGGGCCCCGTGTTGAGGGTCAGCGTGGCGGATGTGTTGTTGCCTACTCTTGCAGAGGGAGGTGTTTAATCCCAGTTTAGTGATGATTGGAGGGCAATATGGTGTTGAACGCTGTGTGTGTGTGTGTACCTGTCGGTGCGTCTCTGGTGCTGGATGACCAGGTTCTTCTCGTGGATGGTCCCTGCAGCAGGGTCGTCGCCAGGGACTTGAGGTCAGACCTGGGCGTGGCGCGGGAGACTGCAGTCCTCAGATTATGGGAGAGAGAGAGAGAGAGAGAGAGAGAGAGAGAGAGATAGAGAGAGAGAGAGAGAGGAGAGAGTAGAGAGAGAGAAGAGCGAGAGAGAGAGAAAGAGGAGAGAGAGAGAGAGGAGAGAGAGAGAGCGAGAGTAGAGAGAGAGGCGAGAGAGAGGTGAGAGAGAGACCAATAGATCAAAACCCAAAATAGGTGAAAGAAAGCAACAAAAAATAGAGGAAGAAACAGTATATAGACAGAGCGAAAACAGGTCGTTGAGGGAGAAATAATAAAAAAGATGAGAGAGTGAGTGGAAGAGTGACAGAGAGATAGAAACAGCTGTCTGTACAATATATTACCCTCCCTGCTCCCTCTAGCTTTAACTGTCTGCCCTACTCTGCTGGCTCTGCGACACCTGTCAATCAAGACCTCTGATTTGTCTCTCTGCCACAACTCAGAATATAAATTAGGACGAGGCTCAGGTGTTTTGAAAGTTAGGCACCGGAGACTTAACATAACTCTAATGAAGAATGTCTGCTTAAGACAGAATGGGGATTACAGGTGCTTTTATGTCTGGTACTGGAATCCTGGTGTGGTTGAAAAACTAGGATTTGCCTTCACAAGAGCTGAAAATAACTTTTGGGTGCCCTTTGAATCGTACGACTTCTACACCACATCACCATGCTATTGTAGATTGATTTTCTCAAGTAAATAACGTAATGCAACCTGCACTACCACACTACAATACCTCCTATACAGGTCCTAGAGTAGATCCTTCAGGTCTCAGGGAAGCTGACATTATTGCAATGGGCTTGCACTCACTACTTATGTTATACTCACTGGGATTTGCATTACCTAGACAGAGGAGATCACTTAGATAGTTGCTAATTGCTGTTCTGGGATCAGTTGCTCTTACCAGCCTCCTTATCTTATTCACTACAGAGCAAGCTGCCAGTCTGAATTGGGACCTGCCATGTGGTAGCTGGATGTATCTGTAAGTGAGTGTGGTGTACCTTGTCTGGCAGAGAGGACTCCTGTTACAGCACTGCTGTTGGACTTTGCAGACACTTTAGATTTCTTCCTCCTCTCCAACTCAGTCTGCAAAACAAACACAACCACCTTTATCAGCTGTCACCTCTATCAACTCTAACTCTCTTTGGGACTGTCAAGAGACACTGGCTAGAATTCATTGTAATTGCAATGCAATGTTGACACAGCGCCATTGTTTACTGCTTGCACACAAACACACCACACACACATACTTCTTCTGAAGTATCTAACTATGAGGGGAGTCTACTTGATGGTAAAAAAAAAGTTACTTGTTACTGCAATGCGGGTAGGATCGAATTGAGTCCACTGTCACAGACAGATTGACAGACATGATGACAGACAGAATGACAGACAGAATGACACCTCTACCTTGTATTTCATGATATTGGACTTGGAGAGAAAGTTTCATACACTGCAAGGTTGGGACTACTTCAATGTCATGCTATTCCAGCTAGGCATAGGGTGTTCTGTGTGTGTTTGTAGTTGAAGAATTGTTGTTGCTGAAAAGATGAATTGAAGGCTATTTTTGCCCTCTGTCAGGTATTTACATGAGAGGTTCAACCAAGTCCAAGAGGAGGTCACACAGAACACCCTATACCTAGCTGGAATAGCATGACCTTGAAGCAGTGCCAACCTCGCAGTGTATGAAAATGTCTCCTTTTATGGTGTACAGTAGTTACATTGTTTGTCTATGCATAGCCTACTATACATTGGGGGTCATTTCATTGTGTTTAATACAGTGTGATATGTTGCAGGTCGTTGTTTTTACCTACCTTAGTTGAATGCACTGACTGTAAGTCGCTCTGAACAGGAGTGTCTGCTAAATGAATCAACCGTAATGTCAAATGTAATACTAGCAGAGAAGAGTCCACTACCTTTGCCCCCCCTCACCTGTTCTCCATACAGAGAGCATCCACGTCAATGATGCGCGTCTCGTGGCCACCTAGGATGTTGTTCAGCTCCAGGTTAAGGCGTTCGGCCGGTGCTATGCTCCGCCTTAACGTCCTGCAGCTCGTCAGTCAGCGCCTCAACACTGTTCCCCATCTCCTCCATCTGAACACACACACACAGAGAGAGAGAGAGAGAGAGAGAGAGAGAGAGGAGTGAGCGAGACGCGAGACGAGAGAGATGCGCTCTGAGCGCGAGCTCTCAGAGACGAGAGTCGCAGTCTCGAAGAACGCGCGATGAGACGAGGAGACGAGCGAGAGAGAGAGACAGAGAGAAAGAAGAGAGAAAGAGAGAGAGAGAAAGAGAAAGAGAAGAGAGAGAGAGAGAGAGAGAGAGAAAAGAGCAGAGAGACAGAGAGAGAGACAGACGAGGAGAGTGAGAGAGACAGAGAGAGAGAGAGAAAGACAAGGTTACATGCAGCGGCCTCTCCTTATCACCTTTCTAAAAGTGCTGATGAAGGAGAGGCACTGGGTCGTGTTCATCAGGGCACGATGTAGCATAGCCTATATGGAAACGGAATATGAAAAAGAGCAATCTCATTGGAAAAGTTCCCTTCCCCGCTGTAGCCTTGCCTTCTCCAGTTGGTGGACCAGGTTTTCTCTCTCATAGGCTGGGAAGTGGCGTTCCCCCACCTCCTCGTCCCCCAACCTCTATCTGGTGATGGTCATCCTCAGCATCTGTGGACCAGGAAGAGACGGGTCAAATGGAGGGAGGAACGAGGGACAGATTCACTTAAAAGTTTGAGTTAGCCTGAGAGAGAGACGCATGTTTGTGTGAGAGTGTTTATCGTGTGTGTGTATGTGTGTGTGTGTGTGTGTGCGCACATGCATGTGTGTGTATGTGCATGTGAGCGAGTGAGCATGTTTGTGTGTGTGTGTGTGTGTGTGTGTGTGTGTGTGTGATGCCCCACCTTGTTATCCCCCTGGGCCTCGGCCAGTCTCTGATTCAAATCCTTCCCCTCCTCGGCCAGCTGTTTCCCTTGCTCCCTCGCGTCTCTCAGCAGCTGAGCCAAGTTCACCTGGGGAGAGGAGGGAGAGATACACATACAGTGCATTTGGAAAGTATTCAGACCTCTTCCCTTTTCCACATTTTGTTATGTTACAGCCTTATTCTAAAATGTATTAAATTATTTTTTCTCATCAATGACAAAAACTGATTTTTAGACATTTTTGCAAATGTAAAAAAAACTAAAAACAGAAATACCTTATTTACTTAGGTATTCATACCCTTTGCTATGAGACTCGAAATTGAGCTCAAGTGCATCCTGTTTCCATTTATCATCCTTGAGATGTTTCTACAACTTCATTGGAGTCCACCTGTGTTAAATTCAATTGATTGGACATGATTTGGAAAGGCACACACCTGACTATATAAGGTCCCACAGTTGACAGTGCATGTCAGAGCATAAACCAAGCCATGAGGTGGAAGGAATTGTTCCGTAGAGCTCCAAGAAAGGATTGTGTCGAGGCACAGATCTGGGGAAGGGTAACAAAACATTTCTGCAGCATTGAAGGTCCCCAAGAACACAGTGGCCTCCATCATTCTTAAATGGAAGAAGTTTGGAACCACCAAGACTCTTCCTAGGGCTGGCTGCCCGGCCAAACTGAGCAATCGGGGGAGAAGGGCCTTGGTCAGTGAGGTGACCAAGAACCCGATGGTCACTCTGACAGAGCTCCAGAGTTTGTCTGTGGAGATGGGAGAACCTTCCAGAAGGACAACCATCTCTGCAGTACTCCACCAATCAGGCCTTTATGGTAGATTGGCCAGACGTAAGCCACTCCTCATTAAAAGGCACATGTTTGGAGTTGGCCAAAAGGTACCTAAAGGACTCTCAGACCATGAGAAACAAGATTCTCTGGTCTGATGAAACCAAGATCTAACTTTTTGGCTTGAATGCTAAGCATCACATCTGGAGGAAACATGGCACCATCCCTACGGTGAAGCATGGTGGTGGCAGCATCCTGCTGTGGGGATGTATTTCAGCGGCAGGGACTGGGAGACTAGTCAGGATTGAGGGAAAGATGAACGGTGCAAAGTACAGAGAGATCCTTGATGAAAACCTGCACCAGAGACTGGGGCGAAGGTTCACCTTCCAACAGGACAACGACCCTAAGCACACAGCCAAGACAACGCAGGAGTGGCTTCGGGACAAGTCTCTGAATGTCCTTGAGTGGCCCAGCCAGAGTCCGGAGTTGAACCAGATCGAACATCTCTGGAGATACCTGAAAATAGCTGTGCAGCGACGCTCCCCATCCAACCTGACAGAGCTTGAGAGGATCTGCAGAGACATTTACATTACATTCACATTTTACTCATTTAGCAGACGCTCTTACCCAGAGCAACTTACAGTTAGCGAGTGCATACATTATTTTTTTGTCATACTGGCCCCCCATGGGAAATGAACCCACAACCCTGGTGTTGCAAACGCCATGCTCTACCAACTGAGCTACATCCCTGCCGGCCATTCCCTCCCCTACCCTGGGCCAATTGTGCGCCGCCCCATGGGTCTCCCGGTCGCGGCCGGCTACGACAGAGCCTGGATTCGAACCAGGATCTCTAGTGGCACTTTTAGCACTGCAATGCAGTGCCTTAGACCACTGCGCCACTCGGGAGGAACGAATGGGAGGAACTCCCCAAATACAGGTGTGTCAAGCTTGTAGCGTCATACCCAAGAAGATTTGAGTTTGTAATCGCTGCCAAAGGTGCTTCAAGAAAGTACTGAGTAAAGAGTCTGAATAACTGTATACAGTGGGGGGGAAAAGTATTTAGTCAGCCACCAATTGTGCAAGTTCTCCCACTTAAAAAGATGAGAGAGGCCTGTAATATTCATCATAGGTACACGTCAACTATGACAGACAAATTGAGAATTTTTTTTTCCAGAAAATCACATTGTAGGATTTTTAATGAATTTATTTGCAAATTATGGTGGAAAATAAGTATTTGGTCACCTACAAACAAGCAAGATTTCTGCCTCTCACAGACCTGTAACTTCTTCTTTAAGAGGCTCCTCTGTCCTCCACTCGTTACCTGTATTAATGGCACCTGTTTGAACTTGTTATCAGTATAAAAGACACCTGTCCACAACCTCAAACAGTCACACTCCAAACTCCACTATGGCCAAGACCAAAGAGCTGTCAAAGGACACCAGAAACAAAATTGTAGACCTGCACCAGGCTGGGAAGACTGAATCTGCAATAGGTAAGCAGCTTGGTTTGAAGAAATCAACTGTGGGAGCAATTATTAGGAAATGGAAGACATACAAGACCACTGATAATCTCCCTCGATCTGGGGCTCCACGCAAGATCTCACCCTGTGGGGTCAAAATGATCACAAGAACGGTGAGCAAAAATCCCAGAACCACACGGGGGGACCTAGTGAATGACCTGCAGAGAGCTGGGACCAAAGTAACAAAGCCTACCATCAGTAACACACTACGCCGCCAGGGACTCAAATCCTGCAGTGCCAGACGTGTCCCCCTGCTTAAGCCAGTACATGTCCAGGCCCGTCTGAAGTTTGCTAGAGTGCATTTGGATGATCCAGTAGAGGATTGGGAGAATGTCATATGGTCAGATGAAACCAAAATATAACTTTTTGGTAAAAACTCAACTCGTTGTGTTTGGAGGACAAAGAATGCTGAGTTGCATCCAAAGAACACCATACCTATTGTGAAGCATGGGGGTGGAAACATCATGCTTTGGGGCTGTTTTTCTGCAAAGGGAGCAGGACGACTGATCCGTGTAAAGGAAAGAATGAATGGGGCCATGTATCGTGAGATTTTGAGTAAAAACCTCCTTCCATCAGCAAGGGCATTGAAGATGAAACGTGGCTGGGTCTTTCAGCATGACAATGATCCCAAACACACCGCCCGGGCAACGAAGAAGTGGCTTCGTAAGAAGCATTTCAAGGTCCTGGAGTGGCCTAGCCAGTCTCCAGATCTCAACCCCATAGAAAATCTTTGGAGGGAGTTGAAAGTCCGTGTTGCCCAGCGACAGCCCCAAAACATCACTGCTCTAGAGGAGATCTGTATGGAGGAATGGGCCAAAATACCAGCAACAGTGTGTGAAAACCTTGTGAAGACTTACAGAAAACGTTTGACCTGTGTCATTGCCAACAAAGGGTATATACCAAAGTATTGAGGAACTTTTGTTATTGACCAAATACTTATTTTCCACCATAATTTGCAAATAAATTCATTACAAATCCTACAATGTGATTTTCTGGATATTTTTTTCTCATTTTGTCTGTCATAGTTGACGTGTACCTATGATGAAAATTACAGGCCTCTCTCATCTTTTTAAGTGGGAGAACTTGCACAATTGGTGGCTGACTATTTTTTTCCTGCATTAATCAGTTTAGGCTACAACTGTGTTCAGGAAGGTGAATTGAGATTCTACTCAGCTCGCTGCTATGTTTAGGTCTAACGTCAGCTGTTGCTGGTGGGCAGGGACATCAGAGGATGGACATGTTCCCAATAAAATTATATTTTATCCTAGGTGTATTGAGAGAGGTGCTCAGGGACTCTTGTCATGTTTGTTTGAAGTAGCTTATATAAACAGTGAGCAGAGAATGAACAGTTTCTCAAAGAGAATATGAGGGTCCTTAAAGGTATTTGATTTACTTTTGCCTTTGGGGTTGCACTTGAGGCAAAAGGGGTCCCCTATGTGGTCAGAAATATTGCCCAGAAATTACCTAATTTGACAGAAAAGGGCGCATGAGTAAAGAAAATTAATGTTGTATGATAAGTTATATGAACCATACAGGCAACTCTCAAGCCTAAATTAAGGTGAGGGCTTCTTGTGGGCTGTCTACATTCTTTGCCCCCAGGTCCCCCACAATATGTTCAGGCAGCCCCCTCAAGATTTATATGGAGCCTGAATAGTTAATTGTGTTGAACTGCAGGGAGACCAAACATTGACCACTGGAATATCAAGTAAAAGCATAGATTTCAGACAGACAGAGAGACAGACTATTCATTCAATTTCTTTATAGGAATTAATCAATAGTATTACAAGCTTTTAATAAACAACCATGGCTGTTACGTTAGAGCAACAGTGTAATTGAGGAATACTTTTTAAAATGTTCTGCCATGATTAGTCTGCTATGTGAAAAGGCAAAAAAAGAACAACAAGGGTAGAATGTTCTGTTAACCAAAGCGTTGCAGCGTGTCATTTACCCAAAATAACCATACAATTTCAATAGGCGGGATTACATTGTGAATTATGCAACATTTGAACAGTAAATAACAGTAATTTTTGAAGAAAGCATCTAATAAAATGTAAATGTAATGGCTCCAGAGTCAAGCATTCTTTTACATGCACATATATCATAGAGTTGTGACCAAATACAGTAATAGGCAACAGTTAACAGTGTTCCTCCATAAAATCTCCCACTCAGAAAGCATGACAATCACTTGGCCTGCTTACAACTGCAAGCTAAAATAGAATAATGAGAAGCAAACCCTTTTTATACACTGCTGGCCTACAGTGCCTTGCAAAAGTATTCAACCCCCTTGACGTTTTTCCTATTTTGTTGCATTACAACCTGTAATTTAAATGGATTTTTATTTGGATTTCATGTAATGGACATACACAAAATAGTCCAAATTGGTGAAGTGAAATGAAAACAAATAACCTGTTTCAAAAAATTCTAATAAATAACAGAAAAGTGGTGCGTGCATATCTATTCACCCCCTTTGCTATGAAGCCCCTAAATAAGATCTGATGCAACCAATTACCTTCAGAAGTCACATAATTAGTTAAATAAAGTCCACCTGTGTGCGCAATCTAAGTGTCACATGATCTGTCACATGATCTCAGTATATATACACCTGTTCTGAAAGGCCCCAGAGTCTGCAACACCACTAAGCAAGGGGCACCACCAAGCAAGGGGCACCATGAAGACCAAGGACCTCTCCAAACAGGTCATGGACAAAGTTGTGGAGAAGTACAGATCAGGGTTGGGTTATAAAAATATATTTAAAACTTTGAACATCCCACGGAGCACCATTAAATCCATTATTAAAAAATGGAAAGAATATGGCACCACAAGAAACCTGCCAAGAGAGGGCCGCCCACCAAAACTCACAGACCAGGCAAGGAGGGCATTAATCAGAGAGGCAACAAAGAGACCAAAGATAACCCTGAAGGAGCTGCAAAGCTCCATAGCGGAGATTGGAGTATCTGTCCATAGGACCACTTTAAGCCGTACACTCCACAGAGCTGGGCTTTATAGAAGAGTGGCCAGAAAAAAACCATTGCAAACACATTTGGTGTTCGCCAAAAGGCATGTGGTCAGATGAGACTAAAATTTAGCTTTTTGGCCATTAAGGAAAACGCTATGTCTGGCGCAAACCCAACACCTCTCATCACCCGAGAACACCATCCCCACAGTGAAGCATGGTGATGGCAGCATCATGCTGTGGGGATGTTTTTCATCGGCAGGGACTTGGAAACTGGTCAGAATTGAAGGAATGATGGATGGCGCTATATACCGGGAAATTCTTGAGGGAAACCTGTTTCAGTCTTCCAGAGATTTGAGACTGGGACGGAGGTTCACCTTCCAGCAGGACAATGACCCTAAGCATACTGCTAAAGCAACACTCGAGTGGTTTAAGGGGAAACATTTAAATGTCTTGGAATGGCCTAGTCAAAGAGAATCTGTGGTATGACTTAAAGATTGCTGTACACCAGCGGAACCCATCCAACTTGAAGGATCTGGAGCAGTTTTGTCTTGAAGAATATATAAATATATCGAACAGCATCTTCTAAATGAAAAAAGTATGTTTACACAGCCAGCCCAATTCTGATATTTTTTGTCTTTTTTGACCAATCAGATCAGCTCTATTGCCAATAATTGGGCAAAAGATCAGAATTGGACTGTGTGTAAACACATACATGTCAGCATCATGAGCTTAGTTCCTCTGCATTAAAATATTTATCAGATCAGGTCTTATTATATTCCAGTTCTGTTTCTTGGCAAACTTGTAAACACATCCAAAGAGATCAGGAAACGTTGTCACCAGTTCTTTGCAAACACAGCAGGCCACATCTGCATCCTTATCCGCAACCTTAGTGCTGCAGAACGACAGAAAATACAAAAGCCGTTGTCTATGATAAGTCAGTGAAGATGCTCAGTGTTGGGCACAGTTTCAACATACTGTATCGTCAATTACATAGGCAGATTTTATTAACAGAAATACAATATCTATTCAATTCCTCAATTGATTGAAATGTAAAGCAATTTGAAATTTACTAACAGTAATTGTTGTATTTTGACTTACTAGTGTGCATCAAGGTTGCGTATGAAGCGCAGTAACTCCAATGTGCTGTCAGTGTAGGCCTTCCTTTTACCATCCATCTTCTGGATCAACACATGGGGCAGCTGTGAAGACAAAGATTTGCTGTATACGTCAATATTGCATTACACTCATAAATGTGCTGTTAAGTAGTGAATAAAATGTTGTCTGGCTAACCTTGGATTTCCACTGATAGAAGGATCTCTTCTCAACACCTTGGTCCACAGCTTGAACGAGCTCTGGGTCAGCATTAAGATGGTTCTCTGCCTCATCCTGATTCCCAATTTTGATAAAGTAATCCAATCTCCTGATCAAACAACAGTGTACATTAATACATTTGAAACTAGTTTTAGGGGGAGATATGTCCATGTTCGAATTGTCCTCTCATTCTCCTGCTCCTCCTGGGGTTCATCAGTTTAAGAATGGCACTGCCTCATAGTTCTTCCCATCACTGGTTGTCAAGCCTTTCCCACCCCACATCAAGTGATGCAAATAGGTGTAAGTCTCTGGCAAAAGTGTCCTCCCGAGTGGCGCAGTGGTCTAAGGCACTGCATCGCAGTGCTAGCTGTGCCACTAGAGATCCTGGTTCGAATCCAGGCTCTGTCGTAGCCAGCCGCGACCGGGAGACCCATGGGGCAGCGCACAATTGGCCCAGCATCGTCCAGGGTAGGGGAGGGAATGGCCGGCAGGAATGTAGCTCAGTTGGTAGAGCATGGCATTTGCAACGCCAGGGTTGTGGGTTTGATTCCAGTATTAAAAAATACAAATGTATGCACTCACTAACTGTAAGTCGCTCTGGATAAGAGCGTCTGCTAAATGACGTAAATGTAAAGTGTCTATGTAAGGTAAGAATTTCAAGCCATGGATGATGCCAATCTTGCATGATGATAAATCATATGAAGTCCACAAAAGTTTTCGAAAGCTAACTCCCTTTACACTTGCTTTTTGAGTTGTTAAACATATTACATTGCTTTAATGCCTTAATATATCTGAAGAATATGAATTATTTATTGTAATTATGCATGTACAGTATTATAATTGTGTTATAACTGTGTCACTGTGTCAATCGTGTAACTGTAACTAGAATTTCTCCCTATGTTTAGCTTTAGTTTGTGTGTTGAGTGCAATGTATGAAATGTGGTTTATTATTATTATTTTCATTATTATCTATTATACAGGGTGCCATACTAATAAAACAACTTTTCAAGTGAGAAATATACAGATTTTCACCTCTGTGGTTTCCAGAAGAGGGGATGATCCAGGGTCTCCTCCACTGTAGGTCTCTTCTCAGGGTCTTCAGTGATCATCCACTCAATCAGGTCTTTTGCCACCTCATCTGACACATGTTGTAGTGTGTAAGTCCCCTTGATTATGTTTCCATTATGTTCAAGTTCATCACCAAGTGGATCTTCAAAGGGGTGGTGTCCACCAGAAGGAGTGTAGTAGACCACCTGAAATTACAATAATAATTCAGTCCATCGCTCCCCACCCATATTCTAAACAGTGATACACCCTGATGCCATCTGAACAGAACAGTCTTAAATACAAACCTTATTCTTAAAATGAATTTACCTCTCATTACTTAGAGGAGAAATGTCCTCTCTCAGCCCGAAGCTCACAGTGCCCACTGTACTGATGAGGAAGAGACAGCAATAAAAGTACTTCCTGAAAGCCAACCTAGACTGATATCTGGTACATTTAGTGTTTTAGCCATATGCTGACAGCCTTACTCAATGCAAATGCATCCCATGCAAACACAATTCATTATCTTAACTGCTACTTCACTGTTGTGGAGTGGCCAGCGAAGAGTCCAGATCTGAGTCACATCTAAAACCTCTGGCGAAAGCTGTCTTTATTTTCTCAATTAAAATAGTAAACTTAAGTTTACAAAAATTCAATTGGTTCTGTAATGTTGAAAATCCAATAACAAGGTGTGGAGTCCAAACGTTTTTTATTTATTTATTATTATTTTAGAGGAAATAGGGAATTATTTAAGAAAATTGCAAGAGTGCCAATATATTTGACCAAAACTGTAAGTATAGTTTTCAATTAAATCAAAATGCAATGGGAGTTATATAACATGAGGATATTTGAATAAAACTATACTTATTAACTAAAACTTTGACAACTGTGGTGCATACCATATAAAGGTGTGGTGGCTTTACCTGACTAAAGTCTCTTCCAAAGATTGCATAACTTAATATTTAAACCGGTTGTTAATGCAGTTTATGGCATTGAAGACTAGAAGTTACCATTGGTGCTGGTCAAATATTTGATAGATTAAGTTGAAATACATACATTTTTATTAGAAACAGTGAAACGCTTACTGACCATTCTTGTGTGGAAAAGCCGACTAATTTGTGTGATTGTGTCAAATGCAAAATTAGGAATTGTTTCCACTTGCATAACCATCCAGGATATCATGAGGTGGGAAGAGTCACAGCAACAATGAACATCTGAAATACAAAAACATGCCAAAAGACATCCGAATGATGAGATCCTGATGGGAAACAATTGCAGCCAACACTTTCTGTGGGATACCAGTCATTTGCCATAATCTTTATCTTGAAAAGAGCAACATTCTGTGCACTGTACAGATTTTTTAAAAATAAACCTTATTCCTCAAAAAGTAAGTAACTCTTGGAGTTCTAGAGGATAAATCTCCACTTTCAGGCTATAGCTCATAGTACCTGCTCTACTAATGAGGAAGAGACAATATAAGTTATTCCTGTAATGCTTTAGATCTGCTGACATCCGTTACACAAGTGGCGTTATTCAGGGAAGGCATAGAGCATTCTAGGTGATGTGAAACTGCTGTAATAGAAGTCATGTTGTGCTGCAAAGAGCTGAGACATGAGAAACCAACAGAGGTAAATGAGGTCAAAACCTATACTTTTTACTGCAGCGCTGTGGGTAATTGATGAAAGCAGAAGTAGTTGTCAACACTGGAAGAATTACTGCAGCAGGGACTTCAGTGCAGTGCTGAGCCATGTCCGTCCCATTGTCTCAGACTGGAGCCAAAAGAAAGTCTTCATTTTCATAGGACCCAGCAGCAGGCCTGGTGGAAAGCATAGATTAGATGTGCACCACCTCAGCAGCCAGGAGATGGCACTAAAGAACAGGGCTGTGATCTCACTTTCTCTTATGGCTTGAATTTGTCTGAATAGATTCTTAGGGATGACGCAAACAACAACCAGTAATATCTCTCAATATAACTCCTGTGGTGTTGGGCCACTCCACTGAAGTTTGGGCCATTGAAGCGGTCTGCCAAGAAGTTAAAGATGAGGTCCGGGACCTTATGAACTTATTCGTAACATATTGTACAAATTGGAATTCGTAACATATCATCCAAATTGCACAGAAATAAATTGCAGGACGTAACATATAATACGAAATGGGTGGCGTAGTACACAATTGTGCACATTTTTCAGGGACTCGTTTTGGCTCGTGAACACTACTTTCAAAACTATTGGCTGAAATGATACATCATTTTAAAAAGTGTGCTGGAGGCAGGGGAATTAGAATGGAAGGGTGTGTATACTTAAAACAGACTAGACCTCTTGGTTTCAAAGAGGAACAGAAGACAAATGCTGTCTGTGCTTGGGTATTGAAGAGCTATAGCAAGCACAAAGGTGTGGCGTTTAGGTTTACAGACACCATGCAGGAGCGACAACCCAGCGTCACCTAACCTGAGTCAGAATTCCTGACGACTCTCTGAGGTCTGTTTTCTTGTGGTTGATCTGGTACTGGATATGTGGCTGATTGTGGCTTTATACCAGGAAGGAGGCCTATATTTATCTGGGGCTGCTGGTGTTACTGCTGCTGGGATTTGTAATCTCTGTCAGCTGTTGCAGGTGGGCGGGGATCTACGAGTGGGTAAAAAAAAAATACAGTTCTATTTAGCTATTTGATACCTTTAATTATATTGAGACTTGCGGGAATCTTTTATTGTGCTGTTCGATTCATAGAAAACTGTTGATTCTCAGTTCTATCCACAATAGGGAGTCAGAGCTCCTCGATTGATACATCACTGAATAGAGAGAGCAATACAGCTGTTTCAATGCACACTCGGCAGACTTCATTTTCATATCAAGCAAAACACAGATATAAAAATAACGATAGAATGTAAATACTTTGATCCAGACATCCCTAAAAAATCTCACAGATAATTAATATTATTACAATTCCTGTAAACCTTCAAATAACAACAACCATGAATTTATGTTGTCTACCCAGCTGTGTTGAAATGTAAAACTAAAAGTAGACAACACTGGACAAAACCAACTAGATACCTTTAATAAAGACAGTATAAAAAAACTACTGTAGTGAACAATAAAGTTGAAAAGTCATTGCTATCATATCAATGCTTTGTGTAATAAGTAAACTGAAACAAGTAAACAAATAGCCTTATGAGGATTTCACAAGGTTATCTTTTACATTCAAATCCCCCATGATAGGTATGCTATAATCATGTATAATCATCTTGATTTGTAAAAATCATATGGATATTAGATCTATCAGTGAAAATATAGAATATAAAATGTCCTTGAGACAGTTGAGATCACTGGCTCTACCTATAAAGAGTCAAAAGTATGACAATAGTTCATATTTCATCAGTCCAAATTACATATAGTTTACATTTCAGAATCATGAGCTTAGATCTCTCTGAAACATGTTTTTCAGACCAGGCCTTGAATTCCAGCCCTGTTTCTTGGCTAACATGTAAACGCATCCAAAGAGATCAGGGAACATCTTCATCAGGTCAACAGATTCTAAATCCTCAGCGCTGCAGAAGGAGAAACAAACACTCAGCCACCTTCAAATGGTAAGAGACTGAAAACTTTGAGTACTGGGAAAAACATGAGTCTTACTTACTAGTGCTCATGTAGGTTGCGTATGAAGCATAGTAACCCCAACATGTTCTCAGGGTAGGGCTTTTTGCCATCCATCTTATTCATCAAATCAGACGGCAACTGTGAACACAAAACAACAAGGTGTGGAAAGCGTCCCACAGTGTCAAGTTGGATGGATGTCCTTTGGGTTGCGGACCATTCTTGATACACATAGGAAACTGTTGAGCATGAAAAACCCAGCAGCGTTGCAGTTCTTGACATAAACCGTTGTCTGGCACCTACTAAAATACCCTGTTCAAAGACACTTAAATATTTTGTCTTGCCCATTCACCCTCTGAATGCACACATACACAATCCATGTCTCAATTGTCTCAAGGCTTAAAAATCCTTCTTTAACCTGTCTCCTCCCCTTCATCTACACTGTTTGAATTGGATTTAACAAGTGACATCAATAAGGGATCATAGCTTTGACCAGGATTCACCTGGTCAGTCTATGTAATGCAGGTGTTCATAATGTTTTTTTACACTCAGTGTACATGTACAGGTAAGTACACTGAAGTAAAATATAAACGCAACATGTAAAGCTTTGGTCCCATGTTTCACGAGCTGAAATAAAAGATCCCAGAAATGTTCGATACACACAAAAACCTTATTTCTCTATAATTTTGTGCAGAAATGTGTTTACATACCTGTTAGTCAGCATTTCTCCTTTGCCAAGATAATCCATCCACCTGACAGGTGTGGCATCGCAAGAAGATGACTAAACAGCATGATCATTACACAGGTGCACCTTGTGCTGGGGACAATAAGAGGCCCCTCTAAGATGTGCAGTTTTGTCACACAACACAATGCCACAGATGTCTCAAGTTGAGGGAGTGTGCAATTGGTATTCTGACTGCAGGAATGTCCACCAGAGCTGTTGCCAGAGAATGTAATGTTAATTTCTCTACCATAAGCCGCCTCCAACATTGTTTTAGAGAATTTGGCAATATGTCCAACAGGCCTCACAACCGCAGACCACGTGTATGGCGTCGTGTGGGCGAGCGGTTTGCTGAGTGCCCCATGATGGCGGTGGAGTAATGGTATGGGCAGGCATAAGCTACGGACAACGAATACAATTGCATTTGAATTTGAATGCACAACAATACTGTGACAAGAGCCTGAGGCCCATTTTTTGTGTGTATTCCCAGTCATGTGAAATCCATAGGTTAGGGCCTAATGAATTTATTTCAGTTGATTGATTTCCTCATATGAAATGTAACTCAGTAAAATCAATAAAATTGTTGAATGTTGCGTTTATATTTTTGTTCAGTATCAATTTCATAAAATGACATCTGGTTCACCTTGGATCTCCACTGACAGAAGGTTCTCTCCATAGCACTTTGTTCCAGAGCTTCTAGAAGCTGTGGGTCAGCATCACGATACTTCCCGACCTCCTTCTCATTCCCAATTCTTCTCAAGTACTCAACTCTCCTGAAAGACAACAATGTACAGTAGAAAATGTCTAGTCAATATATACATGTAGCACATTTTATATACTTGGGCATTGGCTCTTCTTGTGCTCAAGCTAAAGCATCCTAACAAGCATCTTAACAAGTTATCCATTTTTATCTGTGTGATAAGTTATCTCATGGATGGTCAGTATTTGCAGCCATAGCTCCATCTAGAAATGTAAGAGTGGCTATATTTCTCCAGCTGCATCCCTCAGCTGTTTACCAAAAAAAGGGCCGGATGAATCCCAGATTGCCCATTTAACTCAAACTTTTGATTGACTAGTATTAGCAGTTCTTCTTACTTCTCCTCATCCCAGAAGTAGGGGTGATCCAAGGTCTCCTCCACAGTAGATCTCTTTTTGGGGTCTTTGTTGATCATCCACTCAATGAGGTCCTTTGCAACGTCATCTACAACGTGATCCAAATTGTACTTCCCATCTAGAATGTTGCCCTCACATCGAGGACCTCTGCCAAAGGGGTGGTGTCCACCAGAGAGGATGTAATATGTCAGCATCCCAACCACCTGAAAATGACAGTAAGCGTTTGACCAATTAGAAGAAAAACATTATGGAAACCAAGATATGGTTACCTATTTTCATTACACAAACCTGAATATCAGTGCTCCGCTTATATCTGATATCGCTGTCTTCATCCAAAGTTTCCCTGGCCATCCAGCATTTTGTTCCGGCACTTCTTGTGTTTACAGTTGTTTGTCCCGGGGTCCATTGTCGACTTATACCAAAATCAGCTAATCTTGCCCTGCCGGTAACATCTGTTGAGAAAACCATGTTAACAGTTTAATAATGACGTGTGGTTTAAAAATATCACCATTATCATTATTGTTAAATTATAGAATGACATTGTTGTATCATATTATATTTTATTCCAATGATCAGTGATGTTTAAAACGGACATTGAATTCAAAATAGTGTCCATATGACAACATATTATCCTCAATGCTTTTCCCATTACTCCCTGACTGTTGCTCATTGGTTTGTGTCTTCTGCTGTCTCTGCAAACAGTAGATTAAGTCAAGACATAATAAAATGTGGTCTTACCTATCAAAACATTCTGGGGTTTGATATCTCTGTGGAGTATGTTGGTGTCTTTACTGTGAAGCACTCCTAGACTAGAGAGAATGTCATGTACAATTTCCTTCAGAACATGAGGGTTGTCCTTTGGTAAGTGGTGTTTGATGTATTCATCCAAGGTGTATTCGCAGAGCTGAAGAACAAGGTAGCCAAAGATTGTATCCTCTGCAAAGTCAACATATCTTACAGTGTATGGATTATCAAGTTTAGGAAGACGTAAGAATTCCTCCTCATTCTTGAGAACTTGATAGTTGGACCTGATCATTCTCTTTATGGCTACTTCAGTGCCATCATCCCTCAGGCCCAAGAAGACCTCAGTTCCATCACTTCCCTTTGCTATGTAGAATTCTGAATCATCTACAATAGTGAGGTTTCCTACCCTATAAACTTTACTTTCATCCATGTTGGCAAGCTTCTCTAACTGTGTCTCCCACCGCTTGCTGACTTTGTGCCATTTGCGCTGTAATGGTGGCGTGTCAGTGGTGGGGTGGAACGGCTCCACACTTGAACTTCCAGCAAGGCCAGATTCCTCAACAGGAGTATATGAAGTATTGAAGGCTAAACATGTATTATTTTCTTGTGTGCCTGTCTCTTCTTTTGGTGTGTCTTGGTTTTCTGCCTCTCCCCTCTTCTTCTTCTTCTTCTTCTTCTTCTTCTTCTTCTTGGTTTCTGACAAATTACTGTCTTTTGAATCTTCACTTGCTGAGTTGGAGACTGAATATTGTCTGTTTAAGGACTTGTTTAGATCTCTCAGTTTTTCTTTCAGGTTTTCATCCCTTCCCCAGCTAAGTAGTTCTTCAGGTACCGGAGTCAGTCCCAGACAGATGATGTAACCAGGAACACAACTAAATGTGTAAAGATCTGCTAGCAAGGCATAGGCATAAATCTTCAATTCAGAGGGATAAGCCTCCCTCTGTGTGCATGGGACAATGTGCTTGCATATTTTCTCAAGGTCAGACTTGCTCCAACGATCCTTGTTTTTTGTCTTCTGTGTGATGCCGTAGAGTGTAACAACGATCAATGGCACAAGATAATCTTCTGTTTTACAGGAAAGCAGTTTCACTAACTCAGGAATTAGGGCAAGTGACACCTCATTAGGTATTTCCTTCATGGCGCAAACAATTCTATATAAGGATTTCAATGCACCTGCCCTAAATTTCTGAGGAATTGTAGACAGACGTCTGCCTACATCTTCAACATAGGAAACTAGTTTATTGGAGTCGTTCAACCATTTAATGGCTTTCTGGAAGTATTCGTCTTCATTTGGACCTTCAATGTTAAAGCACATGTCAATCATAGTGAGGTGGGTTTGGGGGTTCTCCTCTAGTAAGTGAAGTCCGTAGAGTTGGAAAACATCTGTCGGGGATGTTTGTTTTATTGCTTGTACAACATTTTAAAAAAGCTTGATTTTGGAAAAGAACTCACTCTCTTTAGCAAAGTTTTCAATTATTGTGGCCAAGTTCAGATCAATTGCAGGATAGACGCCATGATTTAGCCACATTAACGCTCCAGATTTGAGCAGCTCTTTTACAATATCCTCTCTCTCATGTGCTAATTGAACCGGAGAGAACGGTTGTTCTACTAGACCATTTGGATCTGCCTTTGCTTCCAGTAATGTTGTCACTATATTAACTGGAACTTTGTGAAGTCCAGCATAATGCAGTGGTGCTAAAGATATCTTTGATGGTTTGTTGGGGTTAGCACCTTTTCCCAGAAGAAATGTACAAATCTCCTGATTTGCAAATGCAACAGCAGCAATTAAAGGGGTTACTTCATCTTTTAACTCAACACAAGGGTACAACGCATTGATGTCCTTGCCTCTAATCAATTTCTTCAGCCTCTCCAGATTATCATTAATAATACACTTTATAATAGGATCGGTTGGCTCTGAGATAACCAGTTTGGCCAGGAGTTCTTGAAAATCAATCTTGTGTTCCATCATTCCTGACGATTTTATCTACGCAGGGACATCTGAGGAAGAAAAACAAGGTGGTGAGTGTAGTTTTCAACTTTTCAATTAAATAAAACAAATAATTATGGGACTTATAGTAGGCCAAAATGTTGATTACTTTATATCTAATCTATACTTATACTGAACGAAAATAAACGCAACATGCAACAATTTTAAATGGGCCTCAGGTTCTCGATACGATATCTCTGTGCATTCAAATTGCCATCGATAAAACGCAATTGTGTTTGTTGTCCGTAGCTTATGCTTGCCCATACCATAACCACACAGCCACCATTTTTTATTTATTTAACCAGGCAAGTCAGTTAAGAACAAATTCTTATTTACAATGACGGCCTACACACGACGCTGGGCCAATTGTGCGCCGCCCTATGGGACTCCCAATCACGGCCGGTTGTGATACAGCCTGGAATCAAACCAGGGGGTCTGTAGTGACGCCTTAAGCACTGAGATGCAGTGCCTTAGACCACTGCGCCACCCGGGAGCCATGGGGCACTCTGTTCACAAAGTTGACATCAGTAAACTGCTCGCCCACACGACGACATACACGTGGTCTGCGGTTGTGAAACCTTATGGTAATTAACATTACATTATCTGGCAACAGCTCTGGTGGACATTCCTGCAGTGAGCATGCCAATTGCACGCTCCCTCAAAACTTGAGACATCTGTGGCATTGTGTTGTGTGACAAAACTGCACATTTTACAGTTACCTTTTATTGTCCCCAGCACAAGATGGATGGGTTATCTTGGCAAAGGAGAAATGCTCACTAACAGCGATGTAAACAAATTTGTGCACATAATTTGAGAGAAATACGCTTTTTGTGCGTATGGAACAATTCTGGGATATTTGATTTCAGCTCATGAAACATGGGACCAACACTTTCCATGTTGCATTTCTATTTTTGTTCAGCGTACACGTTGCTTGATTCATTTATGGCATCCTAAAAGGTTCTTTATAAATTGGGTGGTTTGAGCCATGAATTTTGATTGGCTGACATCCGTGGTATATCAGACCATATACCACGGGTATGACAAAACATTTATTTGTACTACTCTAATTACATTTGTAACCAGTTTATAATAGCAATAAGGCACCTTTGGGGTTTGTGGTATATTGGCCATATACCACAACGCCTCGGGCCTTATTGCTTGAATATAGAACCCTTTTGTAGGCTATATATATATTTTTAAATCTAAGAGTGTTCTGTACAGTACAATCGGGTGGAGTTTATTAGGAGAACAATACATAAATAATAGAACTCCTGTACTCTTTTCTGAAATAGTCTACCACAGTGGACGCGTCATAATACCCATACAAACACGGAAATGGTTCTAATGTTTTTTGCCGCCATTTATTTTTCATTATGAATTTTCCAAAAAAATCTAATCAATTGTGAACTTGGTGTAAGCAAACCTTGGCGTGACGTTTTGATAGCCGTGAATTCGCCTCAATTTACTCAAAAATGTGATACGTTAATTATTATCTTGTCCGAGACACATTTGTGCGGTTTTCAAAATGTCACGCAAGGGTAAGCCTACACGAAACTCAGACCTTATTATGAAGTAGTTTTAAAATTCCGTTTGTTATGGCTGGACTATGGTACTCAATAAAACATGCAGTTTGACAGCTCTGATGCATACCAACTAAAGTTCTATTGAGAGACTTTTGGAAAAGCTCATTTTAATAGTTTCAAATGCGGAGGATTTGTTGTCCCCACTAACATAACTCGGAAAGAGCAACATTCACTGGACTGTGCCAATAGTCTCACAAATCTATTTAAAAAGTACATACATACCCCTTAGAGTTCTAAGGGGAGAAAAGCCGAAGCTCACAGTGCCGCTCTACTGATGCGGAAGAAACATCGGCCGTGTTCGAGAGCATCAAAACGACTGCAGTCGACTGACTGATCTACAAATCACCTTGCATCATAAGTAACAACTCATTCTTATTTGCTAAACAGTCAGTCATCACAATTGACCCAGGATACATTGCGGTTTTGACTTGAACACATCCACGGCTAGAAGGTTCATTTGACAAAAGCTGGATCCCTTTTAGCCATCACCCTCGAACACGGCCATTAACTGTTCTTCTTCATATCTGAGAGGAAGCACAGATAGAACAATGAGGCAGATATTTCACCGGATGTATAAATATGAAGCATCCGCTTGGCGTTTCCACTCACTACCAAATATGGAAGAAGAAGCCCAGAAGCCCAGTGGCCGGCAGTGGGAGAAGACTGAGCAAGTTGGATTTTGGGCGACATTATGCACATTTTCTCATCGATTATTTTATTTATTTATCTCAGTACAGTTTCCTGTTCCCAAACCTATAATATGTTATGAACAAGGTGGACTACGTTTTGTAGACTTTAACCTTTGCCAAAGTCGCGTTGTTTAGAAGGAACGCAAAGGCGAATTGAGTTATTGCACATCAGCACTCACAGAGTAGGCGTTCCCTAACGGAAATATGCAGATGCTTGCTAGAACGGGCTAATAGGATCCCGGTAGCTCGTGCTTGGCCCTGCCCACCTCCTTGCTTGTTCTGCCCACTATGACTCATTTGTTCCCATTGGAAAGTACAGGCTGTGGTCTATCTTGGTTTAGTTATAATCATCTTTGGCGGAAGAGGCGAAGCCAAAAAGCAAAGTTTGTGCTTTTACTACTCGGGAAGAAAATAAAAAAAATATTGAGAAAATGGCAAATTCGTCCACTGAACACTACAAGACCATACTGTACAGGTCTCTTGTCCAACCTATGCGAAGCATTGACGAGAAAATACATTTTGAATACTTTCGTGTGTCGTTTGCCAGACTTGACGACTTGCTTCAGCGGCTTGCCCCTCACATCTCACACGAGAGAACTCACAGCATGGCCCGTAAGTGCTGCAGAAAGGCTGTCTGTGACCCTTCGGTTTCTGGCGAGTGGCAGCACACAGCAAAGTATCGTTGCGAGTTATAAGCTAGGAAATCTCGCCCGTTTGTGGCGACGTCATGGAAGTGTGGAACATGTGACTACAGGGTTGGTGGATTTTGACGGGTAGTGGCAAGAGAAGATTGTGGAGACAAATTGATTTAGGGAAGAGTGGGGAAATAAATAGGCTGCCTTCCGATAACAAGCATCCAGAAGTGTTCACACTTTCATTTCACCTCATGCATTTAAAAGCATTGGATTGGTGCAAGCATAATGGGGAGACATTCCACCACAGCACAAGACCACTGGACGACCCCAGGCAGTGTTTTCTTTCCTAACCCTCTGTATTATTTGAATATTGTGAAAAAAAATAATAAACAATTCACCACCTAAAACACTGCTGATGAGGCAGAATCAGACAACAGTGTAAAATCATGTTAAATGACAGTACTATAACGTCATTTTATCAACACATAAGTTATACAGTGTTATGGTTGAATGTTTTTAGCTGAGTTACATCTAATGACAATGCTTTCTTTTCAAATTACAGAACTGGATTGGTAACCGGAGACATTTGAAACCCCACCTCTTTAAGGAATACCTGGGATAGGCTAAAGTATTCCTTCTAACCCCCCCCCCCCCCCCCCCCCCCCCCCCCCAAATTGTAAAGTGGTTATCCCACTGGCTATAGGGTGAACGCACCAATTTGTGAGTCGCTCTGGCTAAGAGCGTCTGCTAAATGACGTTAATGTGCCCTTGAGCAAGGCACTTAACCCTAATTGCTCCTGTAAGTCGCTCTGGTTAAGAGCGTCTGCTAAATGACTAAAATGTAAATGTAAAATGTAACTATGGGCGTTCACTTAACACCTCCTGCAACACCCGGTGCGGGCAAAGCTGCTGGTTATAAGCGCAGTGTATCTGACTATAACTTGTTTTGTGCAGAGGTGCTGAAGGGGAAAGGTATGTGTTCTCAGATGAATGTGTATTCCAACATAAAACAAATGTAGTCCTACATTCTGATGTGAAATGTTGAGAATTACTCTACTACTTTCTCCTCTCAATCCCATAATGCGTCTTCCCACAGTAATTTTTTACATTTTTACATTTTTAGTCATTTAGCAGACGCTCTTATCCAGAGCGACTTACAGTTAGTTTTTATACTGGCCCCCCGTGGGAATCGAACCCATAACCCTGGCATTGCAAACGCCATGCTCTATCAACTGAGCTACATCCCTGCCGGCCATTCCCTCCCCTACCCTGGACGACGCTGGGCCAATTGTGCGCCGCCCATGAGTCTCCTGGTCGCGGCCGGCAGCGACAGAGCCTGGATTCGAACCAGGATCTCTAGTGGCACAGTTAGCACTGCGATGCAGTGCCTTAGACCACTGCGCCACTCAGGAGTAATCAATTTTTAGTCCGAAAAATAGGATATATTCCTAATTTCAAATATGACTGTTTCCTGCTGGAATATTTTTTTAGAAGTTTAAAAAAAAAAGTAAGAGTATTGTTAAAAATACACTAATAATAATAATAATAATAATTCATTTTAATTTGGCGTACGCCTTTCAGGACACTCAAGGACATCTTACATTAAAAGTAGGCCTAGATAAAATGAAGTGCGATACATAAAGTCATAAAGCATCAATCAACAGCAATATAAAATCTAAACAATATAAAATCAAAGGACCAGACAAAACAGGACAGATAGAAAGAGGAGGGGGGGGGGGGGTTGGGGAGAGGATACAAACCCGGTTTAGGGTAAGGGTTTGGTTTAAGGTTGTAGGGTTGGGAATAGGAGCTTAAGGCCCGGGCACCCATGGTGGAGAGGTGGAATGGGGGGAGACAAGACCACCAGCAGAGGAGAAGCAGAGGGAGCGGGAGGGGGCATACACTGGGAGAAGATCAGAGATGTAGGTGGGTGCCAGGTTGTGGAGGGCTTTGTAGGTGAGGAGAAGTGTTTTAAAGTTAATACAGGATTGCACAGGGAGCCAGTGTAGATTGATGAGGATTGGTTTGATGTGTTCAGTTGATCTGGTGTGGATTCTGGCAGCAGAGTTCAGAACCAGTTGGAGTCTATT